CTTTACGACATATTCTCGTAACTACCAAAAATACAATATTTCCTTTTATTAAAATCGGTCGAGCTGTTTCGGAGGAGTGCGACCACAAACACCGTGATACGGGATATTTATGGAGTTATTGTACATGTAGGTATATACGAGTAGTGTGTGGAAGTTCAAAATTGATCGCGTTCCATCTACGAGTATATTATAAAAATGTTCAGTTTGTTTATGCAGCTTTGAGCTGCACCGATTGAGCTCAAATTTCGACACGATATACAACCCGCGTCAAAGATTGTTTTATCTGTTTTTCAGGTCAGTTTTGTTTTTCATTTCTCATCAATGTAACCACAATGTGTCACAGCGGCGTGACGGGGGACAGCTATGAATTATAAATGTAGGTACATATGAGTTTGTTCATTTGTTTATACACTCTTAGGGACAACACCGGTTTTCTCTTAGACCGTGCTGTAACTCCGGTCGAGCCTTGTGTAGCTTGTGTACTCGAAGCACGTTAAACATTACTATTTACCTATGTGAGTATATTTATGTTTGTGGATAGGTATTTATGTATATGTATCAGTGTATTGTTTATTGTAAGTACATATATAATCTTTATTATAGTCACGTCACGCATACCTCTGGATCACACAAAGGTTGAAAGGCAGAAAATGTATTTGGTCCGCTTTATGCAATCTATTTGCAGAAAGTGTAAAATAAAATGTACTTAAACATAAAATTACTTGTCCTGATTGACTGACGGATGATTAATCAACGCAGAGCCTAAACAAGCTGAGGGGCGGACGAATTCTCTACCGCTGGCTTGGTCCAGAGGTAGTGGACATTGGTTTGATGCAGACCACCGTCCGGCCACGTCGTAAGTCTGACTGGAGTCAGGAATGACGGCTCTTTGAGGGCTACGAGGAAGGCAACCTCTATAAAAAGCCGGACGGACCCGGTTTGGTGCAGACACCGTCCGGCCCAGCCATAATCCTCAACAGGACAGGACCGGTGACTTTTATGACCCACGAGGACGTAGGAGGACCTTTATAAAAAAAACGACGGGTTGCACTACGGGAGTGCCGGCAGAAGTGAAAACTTGAATGTGCATTTTTGATATTTTGGAATGGTTAGGGAATAATTTTGCACGAATTGCTTTTATTATCAGTATAAAAATCATTTATGTGGTAGAATACAATATTTATTTATTGCGCTATCGTACACAAACATGACAATTTATATTACATTAAAAGTTTATCTCTCAGAAAAACGAACATTCGCGCAAGCGCCCTGCGCTGCCTAAACGAAACAGCAGGCGCAAGCATACACTTTCGACGCGCCGTAGAAAGAGAGGGGGATACTTCGTCTTACGAATTTTCGATCAGGTCACGTGTCCTGACGCGAGTTTAACATTTTTAACCCATTACAAAAAAAGTGTACAACGCTGCTAAAGAAGTTTTCACTTCAAAACATACCACGCTCTGACGCCTGGCAATGGGCTGAGTATCTGGAGCGAGTCCAGTGCCGAGGGCGTCATGTCGGAGGACCTAAAACTAAAAAAAAACAACGGGTTGCACTCCGGGAGTGCCGGCAAAAGTGAAAAGTTGAATATTAACGATGTGCATTTTTGATATTTTGGAATGGTTAGGAAATAATTTTGAACGAATTGCTTTAATTATCAGTATAAAAGTACTATCATTTATCTGGTAGTTTAGTGTCCTGACGCGAGTTTAACATTTTTTACCCATTACAAAAAAAGTGTATAACGCCGCTAAAGAACTTTTCACTTCAAAAAAATGACATGGCCAAAATAAAGGTTATACCTACCCAGAAGGGTCCCGGACGCATTGCGCCTGGGGTGTCCTTCCCGGAGCCAAATGACTCCGGCAGCTCCCATTCGTATTCTGGGGGGAGCAACCACTGTCAAGTCCGCCCGTCGCCGAGCGGTAAATCTGGCGACGAAAACAACGCGAAGGAAGAGGAAAGGCCTGGGGCAGTGTTGGATTTTGACACTGCCTCAGAAAGAAACGGAGTGGAGACACCAATAGAGTCAGCTACGGAGCAGTACCAGCGCGGTACCCAAAAGCACAACAGGCGCCAGCCCCACTCAGAGGGGCTTGTGGGTGAGGCCGACCTCCTAAAACTGGGAGGGTCACCCAGAAGGAGAGGCACACTGGCGGATCTGCGGTAGCAAGGAGGGCCGCCTAGAAGCGGATCTCGCCAAAGCGACAGGGAGGGCATTGGATTCGTGCCCACGGTGGTGCCACGCTGGCTTCTTCAATACCGGTGACATCGTCCACAAAGAAGTGGCCAAAAAGGCCAGAAAGGCCGGCGCCGCAGCCCCTTGCCCCTGAAGCCGTCGTCGTCACCCTGACGGTTGAGGCAGCGGCTGAGGGGCTTGGGGTACGCAGAGGTCTTGGCGAAACTCAAGGCCATCGTCGACCTCAGGGCTCTTGAGATACCGGGCGTCCGGTGGAAAAGCACACGGCTTCTCGAGGTCCCCGGCGTTAGTAGTGTCCAGGCCAATAAATGCGTCGAAGTACTTCAGGTCCGAAATGCGTACGCATTTCGGACCTGGGTGACTTTGTCACGGTGGACGAGGTCAGGCTGGCCGTGATGAAAACCGGGGGATGCCCCCTAGACAACGTGAAGGCTGGACCAATACGGTTCGGCTCCAGTGGACAGGGGGCAGCGATTGTCAGCTGTCCCATCGCGGAGGCCCAAAAGGTCACAAAAGGTTTCCTGAGGGCCCAGGTACGGCTCCTGCAGGCCCGACCGGCAAATTTCACCCCTAAGGTGGTAAAATAAGGGATGAACGGTTGTATGGAAGTTCGTGATTTTCAAAGTTAGAAACACAAAATAAGAAATAATCGCGCTAGGGAAACCGCAAGCAATAGCTAGTAAAATTCAAACTAATATCATGAATGCGAAAGTGTGTCTGTCTGTCTGTCTGTCTGTTACCTCTTCACGCTTAAGCCGCTGAACGGACGTAGATGGAATTTGGTACAGAGATTGTCCGAGTCCCGGGAAAGGACATAGGGTAATTTCTATCCCAGAAAAAATCCTTTAAGAGGGTGAAAAGAGGGTGAAAGTTTGTATGGCGAATCAATAACCGCTGAACCGATTTATATTAGATAATTTGATTCTTGAGGAGAATAGGCTACTTTTTACAGCGATAACCGATATATACTTGGGCAGAGCCGCGGGCAACAGCTAGTAAAATAAAAAATATAAGTGAATAAAATTTTATTGTTAATGTTAACACATTGAACGTAAATTTCACATTCATTAAACTCGACAACAGTAAAAAACTATCAGGCTTTAATTGCAGTAATATAAACTAAACTTACCCAACTTACCTTATAACACTTTACGTACCAACAAACATGACAGCCAGCAAATTAGCCGTTTTCGTAACTACATGTTAATTACTATATTTTAATTAATTATCATTAAAATTCTCACACATAAAGCTCACAAAGAAAATGAGTCATGATTTTTGAACATCTAAATAAATAAAACATTAATTAGCCGATCTGCTTGAATAGCAACGTCATCGCGTCATTTTATTTACTTTTTCTGCTTACTTAGGTTACTTATTTACTTAATTATTAGCAAAAAACCCTTATAGTTGCGCAATGCCCACAATTAGAATGCCTCCTTTCGACAAGCTAAACTTGAGAAAATTAAATCCAAAAAACATGACAATATTCTGTATAACAGGCTCAAAAGGAAAAGTAATTAGATTTAATAGTTTTGGAGTATTTAGGGCTTTTTAAATTCACCCAACTTATTCATTGTACCTACTTGGCAAATTTCTTACAAATTTTCAGAAACAGGAAGAGTTAGATTAATTGTTACTTGTATATAAAACAGGTAATATTATAATATAAAAGACCCATATTTTTTGCATGTCCCCACACGAACTTGTTCAGTTTTATTGTATGGCACGTGAGGAGCTCTGTCTCTCTAGTCAGCTACTGTCCGATGCTTCATTTACATAGATACAATGATAAGGTTATTACATTAATAAACAAAAATGTATTAATGAAATGATCATTAATTTTTATCATATTCTTAATATAAATAAAAATAATATCAAAATGGTGTATTGCGTTTTTAAAAGTCATTAGTGGCCCATTAATTGAGATTATTGCAAATGAGAAGTTACGTAAGTCCTCAATGATCATAAGATTAGGTGGAACCAAGATCACCTAGATCGATTTACATTTTTTTTTAATTATCGCCTATGTCATCATAAATAGTAATATATTTATGATGACATAGGCGGTAAGTTTTCCATCCTTACAAGTAGTATTTACTTTAAATTTAAATGTTCCCAAACACAAACTACTTACCAAAAGTATTGGTTTTTAAAAATAATTCACACTTTTATTTTGAAGTTATTTGCATATATTTAAGTTCTAATCAAAATGTTTATCAGATAATTTATTTAATTTACTTTAAATTTTTAGTGTACCTACGTTTTTATTCCTGACACTAAGGGGTGCTTTTCAAGGTATTTTATAATATCAGAACTTTACTTGTACCAATATCTTTAAGTAAAATATTTTTACAAGGATTGAAATCTAGCATCCTACGCATTTTTACGATAAAATTATTCTTATTTAACTTATACTCGTACTCGCTATGGCTCGCTACAAAACCGTGTTTTCTTAGTTTTTTAAACTATATTTTTTCTATTATAGCCCATATTTGATATATATTGATCTTACTAGAAATAAACTTAATTTTTATATTTTTTAAGAATTTGTTGGGCTAGAAAATATACCACACCAACATTTTATTAAATGCGGCACGTGTGGGCGTCTGTTTCTCGAGTCAACACCATTTCAAGACATATGTCTAACTGTAACTATGTGATGATGTCTTTAAATAGTGATTACCACCAAAATCCTCATCAACATAGAGTAAAGAATACATAATTGTATGTTTATATGCGTATTACCACCCCATTATATAGAACACGCAAGATTTATTTTAGGAAATGAAAATATTACCGCCATAGTTGCGTGGATGTATTCCGACCTCCTCACTTTTCACAAAATCAGTTTAAAATATTTTTCACCACACTCGAATTTTCACTTGTGTAAATAATTTCAATTTTACAGTATTTTGTTCGCGGATAATATGTGTACAGTGGTCGCGCAAGCGCGTCGCGTCGCTGCTCCGAACGGCTCAGAATTTCAAATGGAGTGACGCGTACTCCGAGAGGAAATGTTGTCCAGACCAGGAGTGACGTCACGAGGAAACCGGTCGTGTCTTTTGTTTATACAGTTAAACAGCGCTGGATATTTGGAAGAGCTGCTGTACGATTTTGAACTTAAAAGTCAACCTCGTTCGGCGATCAATATAATAGGACTGCGTGTTTATTTAAAACCGACTTAAAAAAAAAGGGAAAGTGTCTCCATTCGTTGGTTTATAGGATCACTTTGTTGTCCCCGTCTGTCTGTACGTCCGTCCATCTGTCTGTCATGACCATTTTTCTCTGCACCGCGTGGTATCGAGTTGAAATTGAAACTTGGTCTAAACACTTAGGTCTTAAGTCCCTTGAAGCTGTGAAAAAATCAAACTTCTAAGTTAATGTAACAAAAGGTGCGGCCGCGGATCGCATAAAACGCATATTTCGACACTCTTAAGGGAATCAAACGGTACTTCCTAACAGGAATTTTGTTGAAATTACATAATTGTAGGTCAATAGACCTACAATTATTAAATTTAGCAAGTAACATCGTCTTATACTACAAGTACAGAGAAAAATCTGAAAACTATACATTTATAATTACATAGATAGATTAATAGTCTAGAATAGCACAAAGGCTACTATGCATATCTATACTAATATTATAAAGCTGAAGAGTTTGTTTGTTTATTTGTTTGTTTGTTTGAACGCGCTAATCTCAGGAACTACTGGTCCGATTTGAAAAATTCTTTCAGTGTTAGATATCCCATTTATCGAGGAAGGCTATAGGCTATATATCATCACGCTAAGACCAATAGGAGCGGAACACCAATGAAGAATGTTTAAAAAACGGAGAAAATTTATCACTATTGAGAGACGCAGACGAAGTTGCGCGGGTCAGCTAGTAGAAAATAAAGTTATGGACAAACTTGACCTTCCCGCGAGCGAAGCCCTTGGCAAAATCTAGTATTAGTATAGATTTATTCGATCGTCTCAGAGCTGCGATTGGCCTGCATTGAAATCTACACCAATCGCAACGCGCTCGCCGTTACAGAGCGAGTTAATGTGTAATAGACTTACACTAGGGCCTCAGGTCTCACACAACATGTATTGATGTATCTAGACATAAGGTAGTCCCACAACAATTCGAGCAAAAGAATGAAGAAAGTTGGGTGCAACACCATCTTTAATCGAGTTCGTTCAGTTTTCGTCTCCTGTCACATCGTTGACGATAAAAAGCTTCATTTTTCAGTCACATCTAGCAAGTAAATGTGTCATGTAATTCCAACCTTCAAGTTAAACTTTACTGGAAATGAAAAGAATTTTAGTTTTTTCACTTATAGTACTTTTAGTACTTTTTATTGTTTTTCAAAGTATTCACCACGTAGCTAACCTGTAACCTCACAGATTCCAATCGACGCTCTGACTAAGCAATAGCATTAATCCTAATACTTTCAACTGTTTTGAGATTCAAAATTTAAACACATTCGAATATAGAACAGTTCCAAATTCAAAATTACCGGGAAATATGGAAACGACAGAACTTAAAAGGCATGCCTAGTACTTCTAATGTAATGTAAAAACACACACAAGCTAAAAAGCAAAGCCTAGAAAAACGTTAATACTTATTGCTATTGACTTTCCATTTTCTGGTTATACAAACTACTAAGGTAACTTTTTCAGTAATCAGGTAGTTGCTATTCAAATAAAGAAAAAATTATGATTTCGAACACGACTAGAAGCTGAAACTACAATAATATAAATAATAACAAAAAAATAATACTTCATAACATTACGAGTATATTTACGCATAATAAGAAAAGCGCTGAAGTAGCTGACATGTAAGTTCTGTGGAGGTGTGTGCGGGGGCTTGTCGAGTGACGTCACTTGTTCTGCGTACGCGCCGGTACGCCGCCGCGGCTCACATTTAACTTTAGTTTACTCTTATTGTGTTTTAGAAAGGATCGTTATGCAATGTGTCGCAGTATTACACGAATACGACAGCATTTAGATAATATTAGTTAGATAAACACTACCTGTTCCGTGAGGAGCCATATCTTAGGAATTTCTTGATAAGTATCTGTTACGTTGCAATACTTAGGACGTTTACTACCTGGTCACAGCAAAAAAAGAACCGGTCAGGTAAGAGTCGAACTCGTGCGCCGAGGGTTGCCTACCCAGATTTTACGTAGATTTTGGTCTTTACAAGTTTTCGCGAAAATCGAAATTTACCCATATCTTTTTATCGTGTTGACTATCGTGTATCGTGTAGGACCTTGATTTTTATACATCTAATAGGGACTATAGACCTCAGTATCTAGTATTAATTTCAACTTGCTAGGTCTAACCGTTCCTGACAAAATCGATGTTGACACACGGACCTTTTCTACCGTTTGAGGTACGGAACCCTAAAAATGGTTACTCATAATTGTAAGTTCTATTGCAATAGACTAAATATTTGCCGATTTGAATTCACACCAGAAATTACAAATCCAAATTTTGCAATTCAATATTTTTATTTAGTTAGGCCAAAACCAGTAGGCCAAAACCTCCTTCTTAAGGAGAGGCCTATGTCCAGCAGTGGACTATTAAAGGCTGATGATGTGATATTTTTATTGTATAAAATCAAACAATTATTCGAAATCGTAGATTTATAAAGAAATACATATATCTGGTATCAATACACCGGGTAATCGTGTCAATCTAAAACCGCTCAGTTATCAGTCGGTTGATCCTTGTGAGATGAAATCCGCAAATATAAATACTCTTTTCTACTCGTACTCATTAAAACCAGGGTTTAGGAACCTATGTTTTCAACATTACTGTTTGTTGTCTGTTTTATGACATAGAGGTAAACAACAGAGACGTAGCTTGGACTAATATAGACGTGGGCGAAGTCGCATCAGCGAGGCCCCTTTTCTGTCGTTCCTAAGACATATGTGTACAATACATCAATTTTATTATATTTATGTCTATTTATTCAAGTCGTGCGGTAACCCCGTACGATCCGAATGGCCGCTACCCGCTGCGCTTAATTGAGCTTAGCTCGGCAGCGGGAGGAGGCCGAAAGGCGCTTGGTCACCGTTGCTCCACTTTTTTTTCCTGTGCGGCAATCCCCTCGGATACCACCGGTTATGTCGGACTCGAATCGACCAAAAACCGCACGCCGTTTCGGGTACCAGTTGCCCACCGCTGTTTCACGACAGCTACATATCGTATATGGATCGAGACGAAGAGAGGTTACGAGTAGGGTTTCCCAAACGTCCTAGGACCTCTTCTGTGGAACCTCGCGCATAATGTAGTCCCGAGAATTAGTCTTCCCCTAGAAGTGAGTGTCGCCTGTTACGCGGAAAAAGACTCAGAGCTGGTCGAGATAGGGATTGCTTGTGTCGTCTAAAAAATCAGCGGTCTTGGCCTACGGTTAGCGTGTCATAAGACGGCATCCCTGTGGTTTCACAAGAAACGTAGAGGTGAAGATCTTCCCTTACCTTGGATATCCTGACGGATATGGACACAAGGGTCTATGATCATACTCGTGCGATCCGTCGAGGTGGGAACGGGGAGGTTCAGGACGGGCTCGAAATATGGCGAAGCATACACCCACAGGCACTGGCGCACACTGGATACATAGGTGCGTGGCTGAACCAGCCGCGGAATGTGCGCCATCGTGCTGTTGGTGCCTCTACTAAACCTAGAAGGGTGGGTAACTAAGGAGGCAGGTCGCGTCACCTATGAAATTGACTCAGGTACTCCTCGGGCATGGTTGCTTCGGTGAATACCTGAATTCGATCGGACGATCGAATTCAGGTATTCACCGAAGCAACCAATGAAGCAAACATAAGTAAATGGCACAATGCCAGCAATGCACAGCCAACTTGGGCAGCAACCAAAATGCGCAAGAGAAACGCCTCGCGTGGGTGTCTAAACGGGAGGTCCTCGTAGATCAATACACATAGTTTTCTCTGCCAGCAATCGTATCCAAACATGGTCGGGCCACTACACATTGGTAGTGATTGGGGCATAAAGCGGGGAAGCCTGCGGCTTCTTCCGTGATAGGATCTAGTTAGATGAGGCATTGATCCGGGAAGGACCTGGAATCACATGTTCTTGTCTTCTCAGAGTTAAGCGCCTGAGGGCAGACGTCGATGTCGTCGTAGAGGAAACCACATACTTCTAATTCCCACGTCTACAAGGTGCTGGAGATCCAAAAGCGATTTTACACCCCATCAACAAAAAAAGCCCCCTAATTAGTGGAAGCACAGGTTGCCAAAACTTCACGATCCGCCCATGTCCATAGCTATTAACTCCTGACAAGTCTCATATTCCGTAAATCTAAGAGTCGCAGTCTTTAAAGGTAGTTACAATGACCTCACCGTCGCACTTAAAATGGGGCTTCTTGTTAGACTCGAAACAAACACATTACGAGCGTAAATGTGATCAAATTAATTAGTCATCTGTGGTGAAGTCTAGGGTCCTCGCGAGGCGCATTTAAAGGCGCCTCGCGAGGACCCCCTAAGTGCGAGGGCCTAGCCTAGGGGCCTAGCTATGCTACTGGTAAACAAGTAGGACCACCTGGTGTCAAGTGACTACTGCCGCAATGAATATTTGCATTTCAAAAGTTATGAATGCGCTGTCAGTCTTCGAGGTAAGAGTAAACTCTTTTCTTGAAGGCTTGAAGGTCGTATCGGTTCGGAAATACTACAGGCGACAATTTGTTTCACAGATTTGTTATGCGAAGTACAATTCTATATTATATAATAGATTATAACATAAAATCGCAAACATTCACCTCGAAACGTGTTCAAGTTTTGGAGCCTAAAAACA